GGAGGTCCTGGGGGGCGCGGGTGAGGGGAGGCCTGCCCCGGGCAGCAGCGGCCCCGCTCCACCATGTCCCCCGCCCGCTCAGCTGTGGGCTCGGAGCCGTCCCGGAGCACGCGGATGCGAAGACGTGGTCCTCCCGGCTCTGTACCGCAGCAGGCTTTGTCGGAGGGTTCCCGCAGCGCTGGGCTTATGTTAACGGGGTATTAGATGACTGTTCCCCCAAAATTCCTTCCACGAGCTGCTGTCAAGTCATGTGCATTGAGTCGTGCTTTAGCGTGGGTTCCCTGGCTCCTCCCGTGCTCCCCGCCGGGTAGAGGGAAGGCTTCTGCGGAAGGAGCAGGAGGGCCTCGGTGGATGCCGGGAGGGCGCGCGTGGACAGGTTTGAGAGGCGAAGTGGGCGGTACAGCGGGGAACTGATGAGTGTGAGGCCGCAGCCCCTCACCCCCACCCCGCCCCGCCCCAACACTGTGCTCGTGAGCCGCTGGCCCTTCTTGTGTTGTGATAACAGGACCAGGCTGGAGTAAGGGGAGCCGCAAAGATGAGAGCTGGTGTCCTTTGCTGGCACTGGCCCCCTGCGGCAAACTTGTCAGGCCCTCCTGGTGTTTGTTGGAGGAAGCACTGTTTGAACTTGATAACAGCAGAGAGCACCCTTGGCATGAGGACCAGGGTGACGCCCATGGTGCTGCCCTGCAGGGAACAGAACTGCACACACTAGCACATGGGAGTTTTCAAAACACGGAGCCTGGAAACAACCCAGCATTCATCAGGGGATGAGTGGATAAAGTGTGGTCTGCCCATGCAATGGGGTGCTACTCAGCCTTGAAACGGAAGGACATTCTGACACAGGCTTCCACATGGATGAACCTGGAGGACGTCATACTGAGTGAAATAAGCCAGTCACAAAAAGGACACGCACTGTATGATTCCACTGACATACGGTTCCATAGTCAGATTCACAGAGACAAAGTAGAAGGGTGGGTGCCTGGGGCTGGGGGCAGGGAGGGGAAATGAGGGGTTTAATGGACAATTTTAGGGTGGGAAGAGAATAAAGTTCTGGAGATGGGTTGCATGACAGCGTGAATATACCTTTTGAAAGGTTGAGGTGGTAATGTTTATTATGTATTTATTACCACAATACAAGAAGGAAGCATACATGGTCCCACTCACCCCACATTGAGATCCCCATGCAATTGGTCTGGGTGTGACCTGGACAGAGAGATTTTGAGGCTTCCAGGTGATTTCACCTGCAGTGGGTTGCCCTGTCGTCAGCACCTTTGCACTGAGGGGTTCAGGGGCCTGACCAGAGGTGACGTGCCTGGGCCTGGCTCTGATGTTGCCCTAGGAGCCCTATCTCTTGTAGAAGGACCTGAAGCTACAATGGGTCCACCCCCTCTTCTGAAATGCCCGCTGGCTCAGGGCAGTGTTCTCAACACCAGGAGGTCCTGGCTACAGCACTAACCCTCACCCCACTGTTCAGGACCTGAGGTCAGGGGCTCCCTGCCATGCACAAAACACACAGTGGCGGAGACAGGGCTCAAACCCCTTCTCCTCAAGCCTCATCTTCTATCCAGGGTCCCACTTCCTCTGGGTCCTTTAAGCCCCAAACGCCCACCAACAAAGGGCTGCACAGTGACTGCTGTGGATGAAACTCATTCAGATCACATGACCTGCCGTCAACAGGAATGTGGCCATGCCATCACAGTCGTGGGCACCCTGGGAGCGTGCCACCTCAGGCAAAGTGGGAGCTGTCCCTGCCCCTTCCAAGTCCCAGCAGCACCCTTGCATTTGCCTCCCCACTTCCTCCCACCCGATAATCACACACACCCTGAATCCTCTTGCTATCTGACAGCTCAGGCCTCTCCGTAGTAGCCCACTCATCTATGTCCCCAAAATAAAACTCCCAGCACCCCATAATGACTCCTCCTTGGAGTCTAGCCCAATGTTTCTGGGGCATAGCTTGCCATAAAATGTTCCTAATCCTTGTCCAGCCAGTGTGGTTCAGTGGTTGAGTGTTGACCTATGAACCAGGAGGTCACGGTTTGATTCCTGGTCAGGGCACATGCCCAGGTTTCGGGCTCAATCCCCAGTCGGGGGCTTGCAGGAGGCCGCCAATTGATGAATCTCTCATCATTGATGTTTCTCTCCACCACTGAATCTTTTTCTCAGTATTTCATAAAAGATGTTGGTTAAAATAAAACCAATTGGTTCTGACTGGGTGGCTTAGTTGGTTGGAGTGTTGTCTCATTCATCAAAAGATCTTGGGTTCAATTCCCGGTCAAGGGCACATACCTAGGTTTCGGGTTCAATCCCCAATCAGGGCGAGTATGGCAGTCAACCAATCGATGTGTCGCTCTCACATCGATGTCTCTCTCTCTCCCTCCCAAGCCCCCTCTCTCTGCTCCCTCCCTCTCTCTCTAAAAATCAATAGGAAAAATATCCTCTGGTGAGGATTAACAAGAAAAGAAAAAAAAAAGAAATTTCTCTTCTAAGCATTTAAGGCATGTGAGAGATTTAGCTACAGCGGTGCTCATTAAACATAATTTTTATAGCAAAAATGTCCAACAATGGTTTTCTGGCTCAGGAGGTCTGGGAAGGAGCTGGGATTCCTCATATTAACCAGTCACTAGTCCCACCTGGGCTCCCTCCCCGCGCAGAGAGCCAGGGCCTCTTCTGCAAATACCGCAGGTGTGCAGGGCGGCTGGAAGCCTGAGCCTCACTGCTGCCTGTGGGGAGGACCCCGCCCCAGAGCTTGGGGTGCTGGTGCTGCTGGCAGCTGGACCCCCACAGCCCAGCTCTGGGAATGGGGACCAGATGCCACCCTGCAGGGCAGCAGACAAGCTGGTCCACCCCCCTTGGGCCTGCATTGGGGTGGCTACTCCCTCGGGCCTCCCTCCTCTTTTGGAGATCTCTTTTGCCCCCCCCCCCATTCTCCTCCTCTTCTGCCCTTGGCCCCCTGAGGAGGGAGCAGAGGCATTCTTCAGGCTTACCCAGGGGAGACCACAAATCAGGGCAGCCTGCACTCTGGGCTTTGCTCTGGAAACATTTTGACCAGCCCTGCTCTGCAGACCTGCCTCCCTCAGAGCCTCCGGTGGGGAGCTGGTATCCGCAGAGATGTCTGCCCTAGAAAGGAGCAGTCAGGAGCCCCGAGGCCACATCCTTCTGGCTGAGGGACCTGGACAAGGAGCAGCTCTTGCAGGCCTGTCTCCTGTCCGTAGATGGAATAAGAACACCTGTCTACAGGGCTGTGGAGAAGACACAGAATCCCATAGAAGGTGACATGCACTTCCGGTGTGAGAGCCTCGGAGCAGCATGGGCAGCAGTGCCACGGCCGCTAGTGCCCAGGACGGTGTCCATTTGCTGAGTAGGGCAGCAAGAAGCTAAACCGGAGCCAGGCCCACCTCCTCCCACACCCCTCCTCCCACTCACCTCATTCGCTGCCCTCACTGGGGGAGAAGCAGGGATCAAAGCCTCCTACACACACCGCCCACCCTGGACCCCTGAGCCTGCGGACCTGCTGGGCCACCGAGGACAGCCTTGGCATGCAGGTGCCCTCTGTGTGTGTCCCCACAGGTGTCTGAGTTTTCCACAGGTATGAGACCAGGTGAGCACCTACTGTGCACAATGGCTGCGGGGGAGGCGGGGGGAGGGGGAGGGGTATTCAGAATCAGAGCAGCGAGGCCTGAACCCCTGCCTCGCAGCAGAAGTGGCAGGTTCTTAGAGGGTGACTGCCCACTCCAGGATGACCAACTCCCTCAGTTGGCCCTGAACTGAGGAGGTTCCAGACAGTTAAAGCATGCTCCTCCAGCCTCCCCACCCCTGCAGTTCCCAACACTCCCTCCGGAGCCCAGGGTCTACACACGTGCCTTTATCCAGGGGATGCAGTGCCACCCCCACTGCTGTTCCCCGGCGCAGCGGTCACACAGGGGTCAGGCCCAGGGGCCCAAGGAAAGGCTGCTTCTGAGCCCACATGTAACAGAACGCCCTGGGCCACAGGTAATAAAGATCATTGTTGCTGGATGTGAACAAAGCCAGCCTTCATTTCTTTATTTGGTGGCCCGCTTGCTGAAGCACTTACAAGGCGCCCAGGCCAACATACACACCAAGTGGTTTAACTGTAT